CGTTTAGCAAGGTGGTCAATGATTTTATTGCAATTTGATATAACTTTTGTTCCCCTCCGCGCTATCAAGTGACAGATTTTAGCGGATTTTCTCGCTGTGCACCCACTTCCAGTTGAGTCCCCGCTCAGTGATGAGTTACCAGATAAGCAGATATTACAAATGGAATTCTCAATTGTGCAACGCTGAGAGATGTACTTCGACGATGTTTCGTCCGCTAGAAAAGACAAAGAATCAGGAACAGTTATACCAGACAATGCAGGGATTGGTTTAGTCTTCATCACGCCAGATAAGGGTATGCTAAGATTCTCCTACCACTTGACAGAGCTGTGCACCAACAACGAGACTGAGTATGAAGCCTTGATCACCGAATTAGAATTGGCAATCTCAAAGGATATAACTGATATCGTCATCTACGGTGACTCTTAGCTTATCCTTCAGCAAGTCGTCGGACAATACAGGATCTTGAAGCCAGGGTTGACAGAATATCGTCGGTATGCAAAGAAGCTACTGGAGCAGATTCCTAATGTGACTTTCTACCGGATTCCTCGGGTAGATAATGCGCATGCCGACGCTCTAGCAAAACTCACTAAGGAATTGACATGTCCCCCGGAGGATTCCATAGAAATCACGGTACAAGGAAGACAAGTTTTGTCTCAGATCGACCTGGAGACTTTACACAAACTTGGGAAAGAAGAGACGATAAATACAGTTGCCGATATTAACAAAGATTGGCGTAAATCATTTATAGAATATTTGCAAACTGGAAGGTTACCAGAGGACAAGTCAGTAGCATATCATATCACGAGAAGAACTATGTCATACGCTCTAGTTGGTGACGTTCTCTACAGGAGATCGTTTGATCAAATGTGGTTACGGTGACTTAGCAGACTAGAAGCCCAAAATATCGTTAAAGAATTACACGCCGGGTTGTGTGGTGCTCACCAGTTAGGGCCTAAAATGAAACTAAAGATTAAGAGACTAGGATATTATTGGCCAGCAATGTTGTCTGATTGCAT